GTCATTTAGGTCCTGTAAGTTCTGATGCTTTAGATTGTGTTCCTGTCAACTTGCCAAACAACCTGCCTTGTCGTTTAAGTGACTCTGTTTCTCTTGCACCATTTGATCTCATCCATTCTGATATTTGGGGACCCTCTCCTACTCCCACTATGGGCGGCGCCCGCTATTTTGTTGTTTTTATAGATGATTTTTCTCATTTTACATGGTTGTTTCTCATGAAAAATCGATCTGAGCTCAAACAACTTTATTACAATTTTGCTGCAATGGTTCAAACACAATTTTCTAAAACTATTAAACTTTTTCGTTCCGACAATGCCATGGAATAGAAAGATTTTGACTTTTTTTCCTTCCTTCAGAGTCATGGTACTCATCCTCATCGATCCTGTCCCGGCACGTCTCAACAAAATGGACGTGCTGAACGGAAACATCGGCATATTCTCGACACTACTCGCGCTCTTCTTTTGTTTTCCTCTTGTTCGGAACATTTTTGGGGAGAGGCAGCTCTCACTGCTGCTTACACTATCAATTGTATCCCTACACCTGTCATTCATAATCACACTCCTTATGAGCGTCTGCATGGCACCCGTCCCCCCTACACCAACCTTAGAGTCTTTGGCTCTGCCTGTTTTGTTCTTCTCCAACCTTATGAACGTACCAAACTTGAACCTCGTTCCTGCCTTTGTTGCTTCTTGGGGTATGGTATTGAACATAAGGGGTATCGTTGTTGGGATCCTCTCTCCCAACGACTTCGTATCTCTCGTCATGTAGTCTTTTGGGAACACAAAATGTTTTCCTCTCTCTCTCCCTTCCGTTTGTCCGTTCCCTCACCCTCTCTTTTTTTTACTGACCCTTCCACAGATCTATTTTCTGATGACCTTACTCCACCACCCTTGCCAGCCTCTCTCGAGTTTTCTGATACGTTTGCTCCACCGCCCCTGCCAACCTCTCTCGAGATCGCCTTGCCTACAGGTTTGTCCTATGCACCTGCTCCCTCTAATGGTCCTGCTCTTGCTCCCTCGGGCTCCTCCCCTCCTGCTGAGTCTTTTCCTCTGGCTCCTCCTCCTCTGCTCGACCACATCGGGTAACCCAACCTTCTACTCGTCTTCGTGACTTTATTGTTGGTTCTACTGCTTTTTCTACTTATGAACCGACCTCCTATCGTGAGGTTCGCTCTAATCCTCTTTGGCAGCAAGCTATGACTGATGAATTGCAGGCTTTAGACAAAACTCATACTTGGGACATTGTTGACCTTCCTCCTGGCAAGACTGCCATTGGCTGCAAATGGGTATACAAAATCAAGACTTGTTCTGATGGATCTATTGAGCGCTACAAAGCCCGCCTTGTTACAAAAGGCTTCACTCAAGAATATGGTATTGATTATGAGGAGACCTTTGCTCCTGTTGCTCGTCTCACCTCTGTTCGCAGCTTGATTGCTGTTGCTACCGCTCGACAATGGGATCTTTATCAACTGGACGTGAAAAATGCTTTTCTTAATGGTATTCTTCTCGAGGAGGTCTACATGCAACCTCCCCCTAGGTCTGCTTATCTCCCGCATCAAGTCTGCAAACTTCGGCGTGCTTTATATGGTCTCAAACAAGCTCCCCGCGCTTGGTTTGCCAAGTTCAGCTCCACTATTTAGAAATGTGGTTTCACCTCCAGCTCTTATGATACTGCTCTTTTTATCCGAAAAACAGCTCAAGGGACCACCCTGCTTTTACTTTATGTAGATGACATGATTATAACCAGTGATGATATCGATGGTATTCTTTGCCTTAAACAGTTTCTTAGCCATCATTTCGAGATGAAAGATCTTGGTCCTCTCAGCTATTTCTTGGGTCTTGAAATCTTCCATGATTCTACGAGTTCTTTTCTCTCTCAGGCTAAGTATACCTCTGATCTTCTCACACGTGCTGGTCTTACGGATTGCTAGACTGCCTCTACTCCCCTGGAACCTCAGAGTCGTCTTACACCTCTTGATGGCACTCTTCTCTCTGATGCTACACTATATCGTCAGCTGGTTGGCAGTTTTGTCTATCTCACAGTTACTCGTCCTGATATTGCCTATGCCGTTCATATTGTCAGCCAGTTTATGTCGGCTCCTCGTACCCCTCATTATGCTGCCTTGCTTCGTATCCTTCGGTATCTCAAAGGCACCCTGTTTCATGGTCTTCATTATTTCGCCCGTTCATCTCTTCAGCTTCGTGCTTTCTCAGATGCTGATTGGGCTGGCGATCCTACTGACCGGCGCTCTATTACTGGGTTCTGCTTTTTTCTGGGTGATTCTCTTATTTCTTGGCGCAGCAAGAAACAATCTCTTACTGCTCGTTCCAGTACCGAGGCCGAATACCGTGCTCTTGCTAATACTACTCAAGAACTTCTCTGGCTTCGTTGGCTCCTTGCTGACATGGGTGTTACCCCCTCTGGTGCTACTGACCTCTTTTGTGACAATCACAGTGCTCTTCAAATTGCTCACAATGATGTTTTTCATGATCGCACCAAGCACATTGAGATTGACTGCCATTTTATTCGTCACACACGTCACTCGTGGTACTGTCCATCTCCATCCGATCTCTTCTGTTGATCAACCTGCTGATATCTTCACCAAAGCTCATTCTCCTGGCCGCTTCATTGAACTTGTCTCCAAACTCCAGTTGGTTGATGTTTATCCTCCTTGAGTTTGAGGGGGGCTGTTAATATATTATATTAATGTATCAGATATACTGTATATATTATATTAACATATCATATATATTAATATATTATATTAATGTATCAGATATACTGTATATATTATATTAACATATCATATATAGCTGTATCATATATTATATATATAGCTATAGGATGCCAGAGCATTACCTTAGCTTTCGGCTGCTTTCGGCTGCTTTCGGCTGCTTTCTATTAGTTTATGTTCTGCTTTCATCATGATGTTGTATAACACAGCTCCTATATATGGAGTCTCTTCTTACACTTTCAGATATATTGAATACAAGAGTTTTCTTACTCTCTCAATATCACTCTCTTATTTCTTTCACTACTAAATACGTTCATATATTTTTCTAATGATAAATGTAGCACCCAAATTTATTTCATTTTTATGATTTATGATTTAGTTTCATTTTTTTTTCCCTTTTCTAATTTACAAATTTGTTTTTTAATTTTACTTGTGCAATGAAGGGAGTCAGTGATTTATTAGTTAAAACTTACACTAGTAATCTTGAGATTGTGGGGTCTAACTTGATGGCATACACTTTGTGTATATTATGTTAGGTCTGTATCCAATCTATCTTTTCCAAACCCCATCCAACACCGACTAAACTGGATGTAACTTTGATTTTACTTCATGTCTTACATTGTTTCTTTGTTATAATTATCATTATTTGTTTTTCACAACTAATTTTTGGTTATTTATTAGTTTCTAAGTTTATTAGAGAAAAAGTACCACTTCTAAGCTGGAACATCCAAGGACCTAAAGATGGAAACAGAGGACTCTGCTCTTGTCAAATTGGATGAAGAGATCAGAGTGCTTTGTGCAGAGTGGCAGTGTTGGAGATGAAGATAGGAGTCACAATCGACATTGCGAAAAACTTGCTTACATTCCTTACATCCACATTTGACACAATCACATCGATATGCTGTCAAGAAAACAAGAGGGTGTTGGTGAAGTTTGAACTTCACATTGGGGAGTAGCAAAGCGCACTTGGTGTCCAGCTTGAATTTACACTCACCACACCAGTAGATGAAACCATTAAAAATTCTCCTACACGCATTACATGATTTTAGATGGTGAAATCTCTCCACGAGCATAAGAGAGTGTTGTGGATGAAAAGGGTGTCGAATCTCGTGTGGCAATTTAGCACACGATTTGTGCAGCATGAAGTGGCATTGGAGGTAAACGAAGATTGGACTGTCGATGGGATGCATACATCCTGAGCAATGAAAATCAAAAATATTTTTGTTCGTGATACAAGGAACGAAGGGGTGTGGGTGGCCGAGATTGGTGTGATTTTTATGATGACATTCATGTTCTTCGATAGGCGTGAGAGAAGCACAATTGAGGTCTAGAAGAAAATCACACCAGAAACAGTAGAAGCAGTAGTGAGGGGAATAGAAACCGCAGGCATCCCAGGAGGACTTACCGGAACGAGTTGGTGGACCGTCAAAGACGGTGAGAGGGTGTTGGGGATGGAAAGGGTGGTTTATCTCTTGAGGCAATTGGGCACATGATATGTGAATGAAGAAGTTGCATTTGGAGCAGCCATAGACTGGTGGCCCCCAGATCGTCGGGGATCAGCTAGTTACACAAGGCGCAGAGTTTTGCAGAGTTCAATTGGTTACGGAGCATCAAGAGACAATTGTGGCTGAAATGTTGAATCTCCATATCCTCTCTTTCTCTCTGTGTGTGCACATATGTGAATTGATTAGCAATTACATATTGAAGAATTTAATTCTCTATTTCAATTTCCAGGATTTAGATACCCTCCTCAGCCTTTAAGCTAAGGTAAAAGTGTAACCATTTGGCCCTACAAACTTTACATTGAGGGGAAAAAAGAAAAGAAAAGAAGTGATTGGAGGAGGAAAAAGATTGAAACAAAAATGAAAAAGCTTCCGTATAAATTATGTTGGGGAAAGGAATGGCACAACACAGCCTGCCTTTATGCTCATCGATAATGTTAACAATACTAACAAACGTACTAATAAACATACTAACGAGACATATTTATCAAAAAAATAAACATACTAATGAGACATAATATTAAGATAATCTCGTGCCAAATGGTGAGACTCATGTACAAGTTTTTTTTCTCTTGGTTGATATATTCGTTAGTATTTTTGTAGTGTTTCTAGTATTATTGTATATTCATGGTAAAAATAAAACATCAAAAACAAAGTGAACCAAAGTTGAATAGCATGACAAAAAAAGAGAGTAAATTTTGCCCCAGTTTTTGTTTTCAGTGGATTTGTTTTTCAAATTTGTTCGAAATTTTCTTTTAACATTATTGATAAAATGTTGACATATATCAAATAAAGGCCTTAACAGAGCTGCCTTCCAAAACAACTAAACGCTAGCACTCAACAAACTCATCAAGGCAGACAATCTTTGTTGCAGGATTTAACATCAAAATTTTGACAAGATCTCAAGAGAAAGACTCTTCAACAGCATGTCAAATGAACTGTTATAATTTAACAGTACCAAACTTTATGCGCATTTGCAACTAAATCAACAATACTTCAAATCTAATGCTTCATTAGTACACAGTTCAATCAAAATGAAAGCTCTCAAATATATATACAGATCAGCCCTTCTTACATATTTCATAATTAGACAGGCTGAAGATTTTACCATCAGACCAAGCAACGCCCTTTGCTTCTGTAACTATCTGACAGCAGTAATAACGAAAATATAAATAGTAGCAATAATATATTTACCGCTTTGCTTGTCCATTTTTTGGTGACGGTGTTCTCTTTGGCCAAGAACGATTCTGTCTCTAGTGACTTTACAACCTAACGGGCAGCCAATACTTGAGTTAAAACATTTAAATAAATTACCTAGTAAAACACAAATCAATATTTGAAACTTAATTGTAGAGACAGTGCTTCAATTTAGAAAACCTTCTAAAAATAAAAAAATCATAAGTACTACTACCTCAGAGGCCACGGAATCGCAATCAACATGAGAAACAAAGTGGCATTCAGTACAATAATAAGTGCGATCAACTAGGCGTCTTCGTTGCTCGCATGCATCGCAATAGTACACTATGGTTGGATCTTCTTCATCTTCGTCCGGACGGTCTTTAACCATTGAATCAGTGATAGTGAGGCGATGTCTGTGGCCATTTTGGACGGTTTCTGGTAATGTTGGAATGCACTTGAGATGGATATTAAAGTTGCAGTCCACACAACGGTAAACCTTTGGCATCGGGAAATTATCTTCACAAAACTCTGGTGTCATGAAATTACCACCACAATCTCTACAGTTGGAATCAGGATGGTTGAAGGAACCAATAGGATTGCTGCCGCGGGGATAGGGGAAATCCACGAAAGCAAGAGAGTGGTGGTGAATTTTAGACCTCACTATTCTTACTGGGGAAGCATATTTGATGTGCAAGGAGTGTTCACACTTGGAACAATGGTAGATGAGGCGACCACAAGGCATCAGACATGCTTTGCAACTTAAGGGACTCCCATCATCCTTGGTGCGAAGGGTAAGAGGGTGTATTTGGTGAAAAGGGTGCTTGATTTTTTTGGGCAACTCAGCACATGATTTGTGCAGCAAGAGCTTGCATATCAGACAAACATAAATCGAATCATTGAGAAGTAGCTTGCATGCTGAGCAGGATTAATTGAAACCACGATTGTTATTACAGAGGATCAAGGGGTGCGGGTGAGTGAAGAGTAGGCGTTGTGCAGCATCGTCAGAGTCATTGTCGGTGGTGGCAGGCATCAGTGAGGCACAAGAAATGTCTAGGGAAAATGTTTGACAGTGGATACATTGGTAAGCAAAGCCTAAAATTCTCACACTGCAGGCACAACAATCGAAGCTGCTTGAACCATTAGGTAGTTTTTTAATGAGAGTGAGGGGGTGTTGCGGGTAGAAAGGGTGTTGGATCTCCCTAGGCAGTTCAACGCATGGTTTGTGGATGGTGAAGCGACTCTTTGAATAACCGTATACCGGATCCAAGATTTGTTGAGTGCATACAGGACACCAGTTCCAATTACCCTCAAAATTACAAGGGATCAAAGGGTTATGGTGGCTGAAATGTTCCATTTCCATTTCTCTCTCTCTCTATCTCTCTCTCTCAGCTCTGTCCTATGAGAGGAACTGATAAATGGTTTAGGATATTCAATTTCCATCTCTCTCTCTCTCTCTCTCTCTCTCTCTCCCAGCTCTGTCCTATTAGGACTGCAAATGAACTGAACAAGCTCGGCTCGACTCGGCTCATTAAGGGCTCAGCTCGACTCGGTTCATTTAGTAAATGAGCCAAACTCAAGCTCAAATATTAGACTCGTCGAATAAATGAGCCGAGCTCGAGCTTGCATAAGTTCGGCTCGTTTATCTTTATTTAAATTATATAATAAATATATTATTTACATATTAAATAATAT